ATGGCTTTTACTGCTTTAGCTGTTCACAATTGGTTACTCTACCTATTAAAATTATCAATAATTTCTGTCTCTTGCCGTTTTATAATTAATAGATGGAAGAATTGGTGGATTCGTACGATTTTTACGCTAATATTACTTGCTCTATTTGCAGCTGTTATTTACGCTGGCCCTATCAGCTTAACATTAATGGTAGGCGTCTATTATTTGTGCTTAAATTGATAATTTATTTATCCTGTTTATCGATGATATGCATTATGGTATATACGCGTTGTGTTACATTCACCTATAGGTAATGTGTATCCAAATTCGCTGCTTTTACGAAATTATTGCAGTCGGCCATAAAAAATACAGGGAGGAAAATTTACCATTTTTCCGGAGTCTAAGTTGGTAAGTGAGCTAATTATATTTGCCACAATATATAGTACGATACTATAGCATGTAAAGAAGTATCTTTTATGTAAATTTTAGCAGATGTTGCTAGCCCTGACAGCTAACAGGATAACTCTATGATGTACAGTACTTTATTAAATTGACTAGTTGGAGCTCTAGTGGCGTGGTATTAGTGAGTTCATTGACTGAAATTGCTTTCAATTGCGATATAGTGTTGGAATTGTTACATTATACATAACTACTGACAGTTACTGTGATGGAACTAGTACTAACATAAAAAGATAGAGCACTGAAGATAAAATTGGCATTGCTTATCTTGCCCTCCAGGTCATTTGTTGCAACCGTAAACTACTTTCTTTATGGTGAAAGTTTATCCCAATATTTTCAAAATTTTCTTCAAAAGGATGAAATCTTGCAACCGCTTGCTTCGTATCATCGATTCATTTCGTTTATGATGTATTTGTGTTGTAAGTATCTTGCTGTATCATGCATGTATTCAATTTAAAGTAGCTCCTACAAGGCACATATTGCAACTGTCTTTGGAATATTTGAGATCGAAGATAATGTTAGGATTGTCCTATTTACACTGGAGGCCTAATTTTGATAAATAATGGTAATATAGGTTTTGTCTTGTTTGTACTGACCTTAAAGAAAGGATATTACATGGTGCAATTTGCTTTGGTATGTAATTATATATTTTAATGATATATACTACAAGTTGGTAATATCGATGTGTTTGTTGTTTCTTGTTTAATCCGATAAGAAATAACATCGTTTTTGCTAAGCTTAAATTTTATTGGATTAAATTCTAGTTTGGTTGGACTCATATAATCATATTACTTTTGGTTGCTCAATCCCATCTGATGATTCAAAATATTTTCGAAGGCCTAATTTGGTAAGATTT